TCGCAAATGTAGAGGTTGCTGTCTCAGCACGTAGAAAGCTGAACTCATGTCAAGGCATCATAAGAGACAGAGCCGATGTCTTTCTGACATGAGTGAAGGTGAAATTGTTGTTGAACTTGTTGAACAAGGGGTTACAGCCGTCAAACGATTCACGAGAAAACAGGATAACAACATCATTCAGACTAACACGTATCTCTTCACATTTTCACTTTCGAAAATTCCTGATTCCATCAAAGCCGGATATTTTAACATCGGAGTGGAGGTTTATGTCCCAAACCGACTCCGATGTTACAAATGTCAAAAGTTTGGACATGGTGCCCAGACCTGCACCCGTAACACAGTCTGTGTCCACTGTAGGGCTCACATGAGCGTACTCGGTGCACAGACACCATTAAATGTGCAAATTGTGATGGGGACCACTTGGCCTCATCCAAACTTTGTCCAAAGTTTATCCTTCAATCCAAAATATCAAAAGTAAAACACACTAATAATGTCTCTTTTCGTCATGCCAAAAACTTAGTTCAATCTCAATCACCAAATATTCCTTCAAAATCCTACTCTGCAGCTGTAACTTCTACTCCTATTGTTAAAGTTCCTACAACATCTATCGGATGCCAGACAAACATCTCTTGGATGAGTGATAAGCAGAAAACCGTAGATATCCCGCCTCAAACATCTCCTGATGATACCAAGACAGCAACATCAGCCTCACAGACAGAGGATCTACAATCATCAAATCCTGCTAATCAAATATTGGAACCAGAATCATCAACATAAAAGAGACTCACATCTGACAAAAACAGAAAAAAAAAAGAAACTGAAAAAAACGGTCAGGGCACTCCAACACTTGGAGGTGCCTTCCTGTCAGTCCCCATCTGTTAAGGTTCACAACCAATTTGAACCTTTGGCGATGGAGATCACTCCATCTCAGACAGGCCATGGGAGTAGACCTCCTTCCGGGTCAAGATCCCCAGTAGAACCACCATGACCAGTTCTAACCGCATCATTCAGTAGAACTGCAGAGGACTAAGGCACAATTTAATGATTTACAACTTTTAACTCACGATTTCAATCCATCAGCATTATGTTTGCAGGAAACATACCTTAAATCCACAGACAAATTTGATTTAAGACATTATGATTCCTTCCATTGCTTCTCTCCTCCAGGTGAGAAGGCTACTGGAAGATCTTCTATTTTGGTGCGTCAAAGCACCATTCATAGCCCTGTTCCACTCAATACCCCTCTTCAGGCAGTTGCAGTGCGTGTTACGCTGCATATTGTTTTTACTTGTGTTCAATCTATATTCAGCCATCATCCTCTCTACATCAGTCAGATCTCCATGCCCTTTATGACCAGCTCTCTCAACCCTGCATTATAATGGGAGATTTCAATGGCCATAATCTACTTTGGGGCAGTAATAGGACCAATACAAAAGGTAAGATACTCGAGGATTTCTTCTTAAATAATGATTTATGTATTTTTAATGATGGCTCTAACACATATCTACATCCTGCAACGGGCTCGTACTCTTCTCTGGATTTATCTGTTGCAGATGCCAATCTGTTTAATGAATTTGAATGGTCAGTCCACAATGACCTTTGTGGAAGTGACCATTTTCCCACAGTAATTTCAACGTAAATCCATCTGATGCTCCACCATCATCAAGATGGAATTTTACAAAGGCCGATTGGTCTTTATTTCATACAATGTGCTCGCAAAGATTACAGTCTGAATTATTTCTAAATGTTACTGATCCTATTCAAGTTTTGTCTGATTAATTAAATGTAATTGCTGATGAATGTATCCAAAAGTCCTCTACGGTTCCACACATCCGTAAACTATGGTTTAACCTGGACTGCAAACAAGCTAGAAAGGCTAGGAAGAAGGTAGAAAAATATGTTCGTCGCCATCCAACTGTGCATAACTTAAATCAATTCAACATTTCGAACGCCAAGGCTCGTCGCACATTTAAACAAAATAAACGACAGTCATGGCAAAAGTATGTTTCTAAAATTAATTCACGAACACCTATTTCTATTAAACTTCATTATAATCCTCACCGTTATCTTAGTTAAAATTAAGTATTTTCAATTCATGAGTTCCAAACCGCCCTTGGGCAAGCTCATGATACTGCTTCGGGGCCTGATAATATTCATTATCAGCCCCTTAAACTTTTACCTGAATCATATTTAGAAACAATGCTCAATATTTGGACTTCTGGTAATTTGCCATCATCATGGCGAAATGCTACTGTCATTCCTATACCTAATCCTGGTCGAGATCATACCAATCCCTCTAATTATCGGCCGATATCCCTTACTAGCTGCGTTTGTAAGACTATGGAACGTATGATAAAGAATCGTTTAGTTTGGTACTTGGAAACCAACAATCTCATCACTAACATTCAATGTGGTTTCTTCAAAAATCGTAGTACCATCGATCATTTAGTACGTTTAGAATCCTTTATTAAAAATTCAATAATAAATAAACAACATGCTGTATCAATATTCTTCGATCGCGAAAAAACATTTGATACCTCATGGAAGTATGGTATTTTAAAAGATCTACATGATTTTGGTTTAGTTTGCCTCTATTTACATCTCAGTTTTTTTTAAAAATAGACAATTTCAAGTTCGTGTGGGTTCAACCCTGTCTGACCATTATAATCAGGATGTCCCACAAGGCAGTATCTTGTCTGTGACATTGTTTAGAACAAAGATAAACAGTTTGTCGAAGGTTTTAAACGATGCACTTGATGGATCATTACTTGTGGATGATTTTAATTTTTCTTGTGGATGATTTTAAGGTTTCTTGTCGTGGTAAAAACATGCATACCATTGAAAGGCAACTACAATTGTGTTTAAACAAAATCCACAAATGGTCTCTGGAAAATGGCTTTAAATTTTCAAAAGCCAAGACCAACTGCATTCATTTTTGTAGAAAGTATAAGCCGCATAAGAACCCTGATTTAGTTTTGGATGGTGCTCCTATCAAAGTTGTCAAAGAGGCGTTTCTTGGTATTATTTTTTACCACCACTTGACCTTTCTGCCACACATAAATTATTTAAAAACTAAATGCCTGAAGGCTCCGGATATAATAAAAGTAGTTCCAAATGCAAAATGGGGAGGGGATCAGAAAACCCTCCTCCAACTGTACAGAGCCCTCATCCGCGCTAAACTTGATTACGGCTCCATCGTCTATGGTGGAGCATGCAAAAGCAATTTTTAAAAACTGGATTCTAGTCATCATCAGGGCCTGAGGCTTTGCCTTGGAGCCTTTAGAACTTCTCAAATTTCATAGTCTGTACGTGGAGACTGATGAGCCTTCACTTAAACAACGTCGCGTTAAATTATCTTTGCAATATATTTCTAAATTACGTTCGTTGAAATCCAATCCAGCCTATGACTGTGTTTTTAAGCCTCTTTATAAGGACCTATATGCAAAAAGAATCATCACTTATTCCACCCCTCGGCCTAAGAATACAATCGTCCATTTCGGCTGCTAAAATAAATCTCGAAAATATAGCGCCCACCCAACTTTTGACTTCCCCTCCATGGCAGTTAGTGAAACCAGAGGTGGATCTAACCTTAACTAAATTGTTAAAATCTGAAACGAATCAACTAATTTTTCAACAAGAGTATAATCAGTTAAGAAACAAATATGATACTTATAAATCTATATTTACAGATGGATCAAAGGATGGTGACTCAGTTGCCAGTGCCACCATCATTGGATCCAGTATCATCTAGAATACCAGATAACTGTTCCATTTTTACAGCTGAATCAAAGGCCATATTAACAGCACAAGAATACATTCGTAAACAATCAAAGGATGAACAATTTATTATATTTTCCGATCTACCAAACATCCACTTTTAATCGAAATACTTGAATTATATAATGAACGTCCTACTGGCCAATACGACATCGTTTTTTCCTGGCTACCAAGCCATGTTGGCATCAAAGGTAACATACGAGATCTGATGCAAAAGAAGTGGGACACCCAAGTAGGTAGCAATATATTACATGACATTAAACCAAATATCGGTTACACCTGCTTGGGTTGTCAGTCCAGATTTGAAGAGGTCATTATGTGACGATGTCGTATTGGCCATTGCCGTTACACCCACGAATATTTGTTGAAAGGTGAGGATCCTCCGTTCTGTATCCCTTGTGATGAAAGAATGTTTTGCTAGACTGTGTAGATTTTTCCATCACAAGGGATAAATATTTTCAGGTCAAATCTATAAAGGATCTTTTAAATACTATAAGTTCTCATTTAATTATTGATTTTTTTAAAAGAAATAGAACTATTTAATAAAATTTGTTAATATGTATTGTGTATAAAAAAATGTAAATAAGTAGAATGAAATCATATCAGAGTTTGTTACTGACCGTATCCTCAAAGGGGGTTGACGAAGTTTAAAATTATTGTCCCCCTAAGAGGATATCGTAAGTCCATGTCATTCAAAGAATATTTCTGCCTACTACACTTTTAAACGTAGAATATTTGTATTTTTACTTGTGGCTAACTTTGCATACAATCGCCAGTTGTTGAAGGGAAGTAGTAAATCCGACTGGGTTCAGTGCAGGTAGCAAAAGTACTGTAAGTCCCCATGGTCCCCAGCGCGGTGATCAACCTTCAGTTGGTGGCGATCTATAGCCAGTTTGTAAAAATCTGTTGTTAAATGATCAGTTAGTTATCTATTTTAATTTGTTCTCAAACTAGTTTTACGAAAATCTGTGATGTTCTAGTTATTATATTGCTCTTTGTCGGCAGAATTTTATACAGTTTAATATATATTGTAAATATCAAATTTTGTTTCGTCACGATATGGCTGAAATATTGCCGATGTGACGTTAAACTGTAACTCACTCACTCACTTACTCACTTACTCACTCACTCACCCACCCACTCACCCACTCACACGAATATAGTTCACCACGTATCTAAAGATCGCCAGAAAGGGAAAGCATTGAGACTCATAAAATACTCACGTTGTGTAAATTGCCTGAACCATTTTGGTTTTTCTGTCTCCCCTGAAACAGGAACATACAAACAAAGCATATTGTTTCTGAAATCCCTCTTTCGGCTTTAAATTGAAGACAAACTTAAACAAATCTCAAACTGTATGAAACTGCTTGTACAATTTATATATTTGTAGAAGTCGTGTGTTGACGTTTTCTCATTGCATAGTTTATTTTTGTAGAAACAATATTTTGAAATTATTTCATTATATTCTTCGGCGTTATACTCTCCAAAAACAGAAACGCATCTGTGACTTCTACAAGGCTTCAAGTGCGAGTATTTAAAACATTACAAAGTGAAACGGAGTTCACCAAATGTCAAAGGAGAGTTTTTGCTTGTGGCGGTTTGGTCATTATTTCCAGCACGGCAGCCCGATCCAGGAAATAACATCATATAATGGAAGAAGGATAGAATAAAGATTCAAGCGTCTGGAGATATTTGCAATTCTTAAGAAAAGCATTCTTCTATTTGTTGTATACAATGACAAGAAAATGTAGACAAAAAAAGGAAACATTCTGGTATAACAACTTACCATTAATGAGTACAAATTAGCCATATCGATGTATTTGGGCCTAGTACAGATACCCCGAAGTTCTACGATGAAATTGATGACTTGATGAGATCACCAGATTCGCATAAATTACTTCTTTGTTGAGATTGGAATATTATCCAATATTATTTTTCCAGATTCTCATAATCACAAACATATTAGGAATCCTAAAGCCAGACTATGATTATTTAGACTAAAGGAAGACTTTGATATACGATATCCCCGGTGAGATTTTCGACCAACAGAAAAACGATTTACTTAGCGACAACGATATTTTTTATAATCCCATGATTTTCTATATTCTGTTGCAAAATTTGTAAATAGAACCTCGTTTTAAATCCGACCATTCACCTACTTCGATAAATCTCAAACTACCAGACTTACTTTTGGAATTTTAATCATTCTCTTTATTAGTCCTGGAATATGTCAAAAGTATCAAAAACGTCATAATTGAAACAAGAGAATAGTACAATAATGTAGAAACTGGTGAAGATGAATTCATAATTAGCAATCAGATGTTTTGGGAAGTATTAATACAAATGATTCGCGGAAGCACAATTTTGTTCGGGTACACTACAACAACCAACCATATCACTTCATAATGAAACTTATTAAAAAGGGACTTAGAAAATGATATTGAACTGATAAATGGAGACCTTTAAGAAATACGTCGGGATAAAACCAATGGAATGTTAGTAAGATCAAGAGCTTTTTGAGTGGAAATGGGAGAAACTAATTATTTCTTGAACCTGGAAGCAAGGGATTTCATAGACAAAGCATTCATGCGCGTTGAAACTGTTAGTGGAAATATGATAACGAACCAAATCATTACCAAATCAATTACTTTTGAAAACATTGTACCACCTATGCGTTTCTTGTTTTGAAGTGTATATACGTTTCTAAGTCTATGTTAGGTATTCAGAGTATACTTACCGTGAGTTGATTCCCTTGCCAATTCACGTGTTTCGTTTTTCCCTGTATTATTGGATAAGCAAGATAGGCGCATCGTTATAGAATTGATTGTTTTAATTCACCATTTGATCGAGATATAAATTGCAAACGGCAATCGTTATGCATTCATTAAATACCACTGTTACATTCGAAACAAAAATATAAAAATAAGCTGTTATGATATGTCATACATGAATTGGGAATATATTCATACAATTCGCAAGGAACAAAACCAGAAGAGCATCAACGATTTGCATTGTAGCAACTATGTGACCTGTGTGTCAGACAGGTATTTCCAATATGCCTATGTCCCTACCAGAGATGTTAGTGCCTGAAAGATGATGTTTATTCAGAGTTCATTCGTCACTATGGAACAACTTCGAAGATTATCAGTAACGTCTGTACTTAGTTGCAACTGTTATCATTCATATAAGTATGTATCACTTTTCAAAGCTATTTGCCAATGGCAAGATCCTACCTCCTATGAAGGACCACGCACGTAATCTAGTCGATAGAGCGTCAGACCTTAGAGCGAAAGAAAGGTGGTCATACCAACAGATGTTAAAAGATGGTACTAGGGATTAAGCGTATAACACAAGGGCAGGTCAGATCAGAGTCAGTAAACCGAGGGTTGTCGCAAAACAAAATATTGCACCTCAAATGTGCAAACGTCGTTTTTTTTACATCCTCATACTTTACCCGCATATACACCACGACCTAGAAGTTGATTTCCCTTTTGAATTACATGTGTTGAGAACGCATGACACAAACATGTGACACTGGTGCTTCATTGCATTGGTTTCAAGAGTGCTCAATCCGTGTGCAGCCAACTAATGTCACATGCGTGAGTGTAAAATGCGCGTAACCTGTAACGAGTTTCAGTTTAATAGATTCAAATAGTATCATGTGTCATGAAATAAAACTGTAAGATGTGAAGCTTGACATGTGTGACGTCATTTTATTGTTAAACTCCCTGGATGCCAGACGGACATATATGTCCCTCCTCTTTAACCCTCACTTTGAAGTCGAATAAAAGTCAACATACATCACGCACACAAATACACTTCACAAATTCGAATACTTCAGGGATATTCCCTGTTCTGTGATATCATCCAATGTCATTTTAGGCAAAGCAAAAAATCGCCATTTTCAATATCCATAACGCATCAATACAAAGTTACGTTCCGTGTACCATGCTGGTTTTCTACGTATCAGTTACGCAGGTCTCGACCGTGTGTGTATTTTCATTTACATGCTCTCTGATGCTATCTTACCCCAGTCCACAGGTACGGCGTATCTACTTTGTGTCCAGCACTGCATTTTAATATGGCCCATTCAAATGTATTGTGCATTTGCATAACAGTATACATATATACGTCGTAGGGAATAAATAGCATTATGCTTTGTCAAACTAACAGTATTATCTATCAAACAATACTACCCACAGTGCCTTGGCAAATTGACCCATAATGCATTTCGGCAAGCACTTCTTTGTTTTTCGCCATATTGAAGAAGTTTTTAGGCATGAATTATTTTGTTTAACCATCCACATCCCTTTGAACAATCATCTGCATGTTATCATTTATTACTTTTCTCACCATAGTTTGCCTACATATTGTGCGTACCCTAGGACATATCCGGCGTGTTACAGCTTAGCCCCAGGGTCATGGGCAAGGAGTTCTCCTAATTGCCCAATCCTATATATTTATATATATATAATCCATATATTACTTATTATGTCATTGTTATGTCATTGTTATGTCATTGTTTGCATAAATGTCGCCATTTTTTACAAATTACTTTTCTCACCATTCACGGCATTATTTACAGCATGTTTTGAAATTAAAATTTCGCATATTTATTCGGAGAAAGTAATTTCAAAAATAATATGTTAGTGATCACGGGTATCTGTCTTTTATGAAATCTCCTATGATCATTCAAAAACGTCACCGATAACCCTAATGACCCTATGTACACACTGTAGTATTTTCTCCTATTTTAAGCTATCCAGTCGTCTATTCGTTGAATACATTGGCTCAAATTTTCTCACACACACGCACGCACGCACGCGCGCGCGAATATTTATATATATATTTCAAGAACATTGCGCCAGCACTGGTTGTGCTAAGCATTCGTGAAGTTCTCTGTATCTGTGGCACTGAGATAGATAAGAGACTTACCTCGTGTTGGTTGTCGTTCTGGTGGTCGTTCTGTTTCCGCTGTAACAGGAACATACGAACATTGCATATTACTTATGAAATCACGTTTATTCTCATTAAGATATCAATGTAAACAAATTCAATTTTTAGCATTCATTTTATATCCAAGGAACAAACCCATGAGAAAGTTAACAACTTGACATTATAGCACCTATACACCTTGTAAAATATCGGTTATGTTTTTTCATTGTTTACACACTGCTGGGACAGTTTGCGCTTTCGAAAGTATATTGTCATTTGTTTTGCAAACTTTAGAAAGTGGAGTTAAATTCAGCAACACTTAATTAAATTCCGGTGTTCTGGCTTACGTGTATACCATTAGCGTTAAAGTTCATGGTTTCCAAATTGTCATTTATAGTCGTTTGCAAGGTAGAAATCTATGTTATGCTGCAGGTAATTTCGGATGTATGCTGTTGCAGACACTCGGCTATGAAGTTTTTCATTTCTTCTTTGTCGACTTCAAGCATGGTGGTTCGTGTGGTACCTTGTTGGTTGGATTTGTCCGAGTCCAACGTAGTTTTGTCTTTCGGGTAGAGAAAAGCTATTAGGTAAGCCGCTGAGGGGTCCGACTTCCCTCTATATGCGTTATTTGTTCTGGTGTGAGTCATTTAGTGTCAGATCGTGTTGGATTGTGGTGACTTACGGATGAAAAACATGGGAGCTATCTCTTACACGCGTGCTCTCATGTCAGCAGCCATCAAACCCCAACGGCCCTCTCTCCGGTAAGACGCTCTACCACTAGACCATGGAGCCAGTGAAGTACACAGACAAGCAGGACTGCCTTATGAATAACCATTCCAGTGACCTCTACTTTCAAAGAAGGTTGCATAAAACCTTACCGGTACCACTTCAATGCCTCACCCAAAGGATGATAATATAAAAATACTTAATTTCATCCTGCTACACTTCTTACGTTATCGTGAACATAATACGTTTTTGAGTGTAAAGCCCTGGGGGCGAAACTGACCTTCAATTATATCAGTTGTAAGTATTTCAAGATCATTCAAAGCACTCGTGAAAAGCAACCTCCTCGTGGTGAGTGCTGGGTAGCGCTAATAGCTCTTTCCCCGTGTGGAACCGGGGCAGAATGTTTCCCCAGCACCCCGTCGCTGGTCGTAAAAGGCGACCGAATTGGGCAACCTGTTCGCCGTGGGTTGCGCCCCTGTGTCGGTGGAGGACGGGATTCTGGTGGTTGAGGGCACTGGAACCAGGAACAGTGTTCCTTTGCCCAACACACCACTTCGACCCTTACTTCACCTAGACGGGTGGTAGAATGGGCCCGTTTCTATCAATCGGCTGGTCACGCCATGCCCTTGTGCATGGAATACTTGAATTGAATAATTTCGAGATATATTAACCAAATTTGGGTCAGGATATATCATAAACTTGATCCTGTTCATTTCAATTTTGCCTAGAGTCCTATGCCAGAAGGCGGTGGCTCATGGGCCAATCTGGCATTATAAACCTCTGAATTCTGAGTTTCTCCAGAAAAGTGTCATGGGCGAACCAGCCTGGCATTTCTTCAGTCAGAAACTTGAATAGCTATGGAATCTATTTGCTGGAGTATAACATCCCTGTAGCCCTGGTGGTACGGCGGGCTACCACTGCACCATCGTCCTTGTTGACACTACATGGCGGGTGGGGAGCAGAGATATCGAAACATTTACTTACACCATGGCTCTTCCCATACCATCTGGTTCATCAAAGAATAAACGGAGACATGTTGAGTCTATATCGTCCGACGAAGACTCGTCTGAAATTGTTGACTCATGGCCAAGGTTTATTGTGATCTCATCTTCTGATGAGACACCTTTAAAACTGAACCCATTTGCTATCTCCTTGGGCATTAAAGGCGTCTGTGGAGAGGTGAAAAACGTAACACGCCTCCGAAGCGGTTCACTGTTAGTGGAATGTACACGTAGAGAACAATCTGACAATCTCTTGAAATTAAAACAGTTTGTGAATATTCCAGTTGTTGTCTCAGTGCACCAGACACTGAACTCCTGCAGAGGCATAGTAAGAGACAGGGCTCGTTGTCTTTCTGACATGAGTGAGGAGGAAATTGAAGCTGAGCTGAAAAATCAAGGAATAATTGCTGTCAAGCGATTTACGAAGAGGAAAGATGATGGCACAATTACCAAACTAAATACTTATCTGTTTACATTTTCACTTTCTTCAATTCCAAAGAATATAAAAGCTGGATATTTCAACATCGGAGTGGAGGTATATGTACAAAATCCACTCCGATGCTTCAAATGTCAAAAGTTTGGTCATGGGGCCAAGTTTTGCCGTAATAGCTCAGTATGTTCCCGTTGTGGCGGAGCTCATGAGGGCTCTGAGTGCTCCAACAGCATCAAGTGTGCAAACTGCAATGGAGAACACTTGGCCTCATCCAAATCCTGTCCCTTGTATGATCGTGAAGCAAAAAGTCAAAAAGTCAAACACACTAGCAATATTTCATACTTTGAAGCTAAAAAAGTTGGTGCCTCTTCCTACTAATTCAACTCTAACCTATTTAGCTGCAGTTTCCTCTCCTGCTCCTGTTGCCAAACCTACCATGAGAACAACATTGTCTCAAACAACGTTATCGTGGGTGGATGAACAGATCATTCTCGATGACCATACCGAGTCTGTTCTTTCTCTGTCAAATGTTTCAACATCAGCCTTGCAGACAGACATTGTAACACCTGCAGAAGATCCATCATCTGAACATGAAATTGTCCCTGAAACAGTTCAGAGCGAAGCCCACATGTCTTCAAAGAAAAAAAGGCAATTGAAAAAAAAGGCCAGGGCCCTTCAACATTTGGAGGTGCCTTCTACTCAGTCAACATCTATAAAAATTCACAATCAGTTTGAACCTCTGGAGATGGAGGTCAGTCCTTCACTCCCAGTTCATGGGAGTGGACCCCCATCCCGATCGCGATCTCCAGTTACAGTTATTGAAACAGAATTTTCAACCGTCAGCATTTTGCTTACAGGAAACCTACTTTAAAGATACAGATCAACTTGATATACGACAATATAATTCACATCATTTCTTTTCTCCTCCAGGGCCAAAAGCCACTGGAGGGTCTTCAATCTTGGTGAAGCAGGGAGTGATCCACAGCCCTGTTCCACTGATTACTCCACTACAAGCTATTGCTGTCCGTGTTACCTTGCACATTGTGTTTACTTTGTGCTCTGTTTATGTTCCTCCGACTTCATCTCTTCAGCATGTTGATCTCCAGGCCCTCCATGACCAGCTACCCAAGCCTTGCATCATTATTTGTGATTTGAATGGACACAACCCCCTAAGGGGAAGTGCACATTCTAACAATAAAGGTAAAGTCCTGGAAGATTTTATTTCCAACAACAATTTATGTCTTTTTAATGATAATTCCTACACTTATTTACATCCGGGTACAGGTACATACTCCTACCTGGATTTGTCAATTGTGGATTCTGATCTACTGAATGAGTTTGAATGGTCAGTCCATGACGACCTGTGTGGAAGTGACCATTTTCCAACCATTCTCAAAGCTGTTATTCCATCTGATGTTCCTCCATCATCACGATGGAACTTCACTAAAGCCAACTTGCCTTTACTTGAAATTCTTTCATCTGACAAGTTAAAACCTGATCTGGTTATCGATGTCCCTGATGCTGTACAACTGTTCTCTGATGAACTAAACAAAATAGCTGATACCTGTATCCCTAAGTCCTCTACGATTCCACACATACGTAAACCATGGTTTAATTTTACCTGCAAACAAGCTCGGAAGGCTCGGAAAAAGGCAGAGCATTATTTCCGTCGGCATCCTATGGTACATAATTTGAATCAATTGAAAATTTTGAATGCTAAAGCTCGGCGAACGTTAAAACATAATAAACGCCAGTCTTGGCGAAATGTACGCCAATGTCAAAAGTATGGAACATGATCCAACGAATCAAAGGTAAGGGTTCTAAATCTAACATTCGCCATCTTAAAAATGGGAATGAATTATTGACAAATACTACACATATTGCAAATAAACTTGGTGAAACGTTGGCTAAACATTCTTCCTCATCTAACTATGTACCTCAATTTCAAAAATATATAAAACAGCAAGAAAAGAAAACTATTAATTTTAAGTCAGATAATGGGGAAGATTATAATGAAATATTTTCTATTCATGAGCTTCATACTGCCCTTGGGCAGGCTCATGATACTGCCACAGGAGCTGATAACATACATTATCAACTCTAAAACACTTACCAGAAACATGCTTAGAAACCCTTCTATTAATATTTGACGAAATATGGACATCCAGCAACTTTCCGCCTTCATGGCATGATGCCATAGATGTTCCCATACCAAAACCAGGAAGGGATCATACCGATCCCTCAAATTATAGACCTATTTCATTGACCAGCTGCGTTTGCAAAACCATGGAACGTATGGTCAACAATAGATAAAAAAAGGTACTTGGAATCCAATAATTTAATTACTAATATTCGGTGTGGATTTCGGAAAAAAAATCGAAGTACCGTTGACCATTTGGTTCGATTAGAGTCATTCGTTAAGAATGCCATTATAAACAAGCAACATGCAGTGTCTATCTTTTCGATTTAGAAAGGCATATGACACTACATGGACACATGGTATTTTAAAAGATTTACATGATTTTGGATTACGAGGCCGTTTGCCTCAATTTATATCCAAATTTTTATCAGATAGACAATTTCAAGTTCGTGTTGGTTCTACCCTGTCTGATCATTATAGTCAGGATCAGGGTGTCCCACAAGGCAGTATTCAGTCTGTCTCTTTGTTTAGTATTAAAATAAATAGCCTTTCCAAGGTTTTAAATGATTCGATTGATAGAACTGTAGGGCTCACATGAGCGTACTCGGTGCACAGACACCATTAAATGTGCAAATTGTGATGGGGACCACTTGGCCTCATCCAAACTCTGTCCAAAGTTTATCCTTCAATCCAAAATATCAAAAGTAAAACACACTAATTATGTCTCTTTTCGTCATTCCAAAAACTTAGTTCAATCTCAATCACCAAATATTCCTACAAAATCCTACTCTGCAGCTGTAACTTCTACTCCTATTTTTAAAGTTCCTACAACATCTATCGGATGCCAGACAAACATCTCTTGGATGAGTGATAAGCAGAAAACCGTAGATATCCCGCCTCAAACATCTCCTGATGATACCAAAACAGCAACATCAGCCTCACAGAGGATCTACAATCATCAAATCCTACTAATCAAATATTGGAACCAGAATCATCAACATAAAAGAGACTCACATCTGACAAAAACAGGAAAAAAAAAAGAAACTGAAAAAACGGTCAGGGCACTCCAACACTTGGAGGTGCCTTCCTGTCAGTCCCCATCTGTTAAGGTTCACAACCAATTTGAACCTTTGGCGATGGAGATCACTCCATCTCAGACAGGCCATGGGAGTAGACCTCCTTCCGGGTCAAGATCCCCAGTAGAACCACCATGACCAGTTCTAACCGCATCATTCAGTAGAACCGCAGAGGACTAAGGCACAATTTTAATGATTTACAACTTTTAACTCACGACTTCAATCCATCAGCATTATGTTTGCAGGAAACATACCTTAAATCCACAGACAAATTTGATTTAAGACATTATGATCCCTTTCCATATCTTCTCTCCTCCTTGTGAGAAGGCTACTGGAGGATCTTCTATTTTGGTGCGTCAAAGTACCATTCATAGCCCTGTTCCACTCAATACCCCTCTTCAGGCAGTTGCAGTGCGTGTTACGCTGCATATTGTTTTTACTTGTGTTCAATCTATATTCAGCCATCATCCTCTCTACATCAGTCAGATCTCCATGCCCTTTATGACCAGCTCTCTCAACCCTGCATTATAATGGGAGATTTCAATGGCCATAATCTACTTTGGGGCAGTAATAGGACCAATACAAAAGGTAAGATACTCGAGGATTTCTTCTTAAATAATGATTTATGTATTTTTAATGATGGCTCTAACACATATCTACATCCTGCAACGGGCTCGTACTCTTCTCTGGATTTATCTGTTGCAGATGCCAATCTGTTTAATGAATTTGAATGGTCAGTCCACAATGACCTTTGTGGAAGTGACCATTTTCCCACAGTAATTTCAACGTAAATCCATCTGATGCTCCACCATCATCCAGATGGAATTTTACAAAGGCCGATTGGTCTTTATTTCATACAATGTGCTCGCAAAGATTACAGTCTGAATTATTTCTAAATGTTACTGATCCTATTCAAGTTTTGTCTGATTAATTAAATGTAATTGCTGATGAATGTATCCAAAAGTCCTCTACGGTTCCACACATCCGTAAACTATGGTTTAACCTGGACTGCAAACAAGCTAGAAAGGCTAGGAAGAAGGTAGAAAAATATGTTCGTCCCCATCCAACTGTGCATAACTTAAATCAATTCAAAATTTCGAACGCCAAGGCTCGTCGCACATTTAAACAAAATAAACGACAGTCATGGCAAAAGTATGTTTCTAAAATTAATTCACGAACACCTATTGTCATTCCTATACCTAATCCTGGTCGAGATCATACCAATCCCTCTAATTATCGGCCGATATCCCTTACTAGCTGCGTTTGTAAGACTATGGAACGTATGATAAATAATCGTTTAGTTTGGTACTTGGAAACCAACAATCTCATCACTAACATTCAATGTGGTTTCTGCAAAAATCGTAGTACCATCGATCATTTAGTACATTTAGAATCCTTTATTAAAAATTCAATAATAAATAAACAACATGCTGTATCAATATTCTTCGATCGCGAAAAAACATTTGATACCTCATGGAAGTATGGTATTTTAAAAGATCTACATGATTTTGGTTTAGTTTGCCTCTATTTATATCTCAGTTTTTAAAAAAAATAGACAATTTCAAGTTCGTGTGGGTTCAACCCTGTCTGACCATTATAATCAGGATGTCCCACAAGGCAGTATCTTGTCTGTGACATTGTTTAGCACAAAGATAAACAGTTTGTCGAAGGTTTTAAACGATGCACTTGATGGATCATTACTTGTGGATGATTTTAATTTTTCTTGTGGATGATTTTAAGGTTTCTTGTCGTGGTAAAAACATGCATACCATTGAAAGGCAACTACAATTGTGTTTAAACAAAATCCACAAATGGTCTCTGGAAAATGGCTTTAAATTTTCAAAAGCCAAGACCAACTGCATTCATTTTTGTAGAAAGTATAAGCCGCATAAGAACCCTGATTTAGTTTTGGATGGTGCTCCTATCAAAGTTGTCAAAGAGGCGTTTCTTGGTATTATTTTTTACTACCACTTGACCTTTCTGCCACACATAAATTATTTAAAAACTAAATGCCTGAAGGCTCCGGATATAATAAAAGTAGTTCCAAATGCAAAATGGGGAGGGGATCAGAAAACCCTCCTCCAACTGTACAGAGCCCTCATCCGCGCTAAACTTGATTACGGCTCCATCGTCTATGGTGGAGCATGCAAAAGCAATTTTTAAAAACTGGATTCTAGTCATCATCAGGGCCTGAGGCTTTGCCTTCGAGCCTTTAGAACTTCTCAAATTTCATAGTCTGTACGTGGAGACTGATGAGCCTTCACTTAAACAACGTCGCGTTAAATTATCTTTGCAATATATTTCTAAATTACGTTCGTTGAAATCCAATCCAGCCTATGACTGTGTTTTTAAGCCTCTTTATAAGGACCTATATGCAAAAAGAATCATCACTTATTCCACCCCTCGGCCTAAGAATACAATCGTCCATTTCGGCTGCTAAAATAAATCTCGAAAATATAGCGCCCACCCAACTTTTGACTTCCCCTCCATGGCAGTTAGTGAAACCAGAGGTGGATCTAACCTTAACTAAATTGTTAAAATCTGAAACGAATCAACTAATTTTTCAACAAGAGTATAATCAGTTAAGAAACAAATATGATACTTATAAATCTATATTTACAGATGGATCAAAGGATGGTGACTCAGTTGCCAGTGCCACCATCATTGGATCCAGTATCATCTAGAATACCAGATAACTGTTCCATTTTTACAGCTGAATCAAAGGCCCTATTAACAGCACAAGAATACATTCGTAAACAATCAAAGCATGAACAATTTATTATATTTTCCGATCTACCAAACATCCACTTTTACTCGAAATACTTGAATTATATAATGAACGTCCTACTGGCCAATACGACATCGTTTTTTCCTGGCTACCAAGCCATGTTGGCATCAAAGGTACCATACGAGATCTGATGCAAAAGAAGTGGGACACCCAAGTAGGTAGCAATATATTACATGACATTAAACCAAATATCGGTTACACCTGCTTGGGTTGTCAGTCCAGATTTGAAGAGGTCATTATGTGACGATGTCGTATTGGCCATTGCCGTTACACCCACGAATATTTGTTGAAAGGTGAGGATCCTCCGTTCTGTATCCCTTGTGATGAAAGAATCACCGTCAAGCATGTTTTGCTAGACTGTGTAGATTTTTCCATCACAAGGGATAAATATTTTCAGGTCAAATCTATAAAGGATCTTTTAAATACTATAAGTTCTCATTTAATTTTTTAATTTTTTTAAAAGAAATAAAACTATTTCATAAAATTTATTAATATGTATTGTGTATAAAAAAATGTAAATAAGTAGAATGAAATTATATCAGAGTTTGTTACTGGCCGTATCCTCAAAGGGGGTTGACGAAGTTTAAAATTATTGTCCCCCTAAGAGGATATCGTAAGTCCATGTCATTCAAAGAATATTTCTGCCTACTACACTTTTAAACGTAGAATATTTGTATTTTTACTTGTGGCTAACTTTGCATACAATCGCCAGTTGCTGAAGGGAAGTAGTAATTCCGACTGGGTTCAGTGCATGTAGCAAAAGTACTGTAAGTCCCCATGGTCCCCAGCGCGGTGATCAACCTTCAGTTGGTGGCGATCTATAGCCAGTTTGTAAAAATCTGTTGTTAAATGATCAGTTAGTTATCTATTTTAAATTGTTCTCAAACTAGTTTTACGAAAATCTGTGATGTTCTAGTTATTATACTGCTCTTTGTCGGCAGAATTTTATACAGTTTAATATATATTGTAAATATCAAATTTTGTTTCGTCACGATATGGCTGAAATATTGCCGATGAGACGTTAAACTTTAACTCACTCACTCACTCACTTACTCACTCACTCACTCACCCACCCACTCACCCACTCCCACGAATATAGTTCACAACGTATCTAAAGATCGACAGAAAGGGAAAGCATTGAGACTCATAAGATACTCACGTTGTGTAAATTGCCTGAACCATTTTGGTTTTTCTGTCTCCCCTGAAACAGGAACATACAAACAAAGCATATTGTTTCTGAAATCCCTCTTTCGGCTTTAAATTGAAGACAAACTTAAACAAATCTCAAACTGTATGAAACTGCTTGTACAATTTATATATTTGTAGAAGTCGTGTGTTGACGTTTTCTCATTGCATAGTTTATTTTTGTAGAAACAATATTTTGAAATTATTTCATTATAATCTTTGGCGTTATACTCTCCAAAAACAGAAACGCATATGTTGTATTCAGGAGAAGTATTCTGTGACTTCTACAAGGCTTCAAGTGCGAGTATTTGGAACATTACAAAGTGAAACGGAGTTCACCAAATGTCAAAGGAGAGTTTTTGCTTGTGGCGGTTTGGTCATTATTTCCAGCACGGCAGCCCGATCCAGGAAATAACATCATATAATGGAAGAAGGATAGAATAAAGATTCAAACGTCTGGAGATATTTGCAATTCTTAAGAAAAAGCTTCTTCTATTTGTTGTATACAATGACAAGAAAATGTAGACAAAAAAAGGAAACATTCTGGTATAACAACTTACCATTAATGAGTACAAATTAGCCATATCGATGTATTTGGGCCTAGTACAGATACCCCGAAGTTCTACGATGAAATTGATGAGTTGATGAGATCACCAGATTCGCATAAATTACTTCTTTGTTGAGATTGGAATATTATCCAATATTATTTTTCCAGATTCTCATAATCACAAACATATTAGGAATCCTAAAGCCAGACTATGATTATTTAGACTAAAGGAAGACTTTGATATACGATATCCCCGTTGAGATTTTCGACCAACAGAAAAACGATTTACTTAGCGACAACGATATTTTTTATAATCCCATGATTTTCTATATTCTGTTGCAAAATTTGTAAATAGAACCTTGTTTTAAATCCGACCATTCACCTACTTCGATAAATCTCAAACTACCAGACTTACTTTTGGAATTTTAATCATTCTCTTTATTAGTCCTGGAATATGTCAAAAGTATCAAAAACGTCATAATTGAAACAAGAGAATAGTACAATAATGTAGAAACTGGTGAAGATGAATTCATAATTAGCAATCAGATGTTTTGGGAAGTATTAATACAAATGATTCGCGGAAGCACAATTTTGTTCGGGTACACTACAACAACCAACCATATCACTTCATAATGAAACTTATTAAAAAGGGACTTAGAAAATGATATTGAACTGATAAATGGAGACCTTTAAGAAATACGTCGGGATAAAGCCAATGGAATGTTAGTAAGATCAAGTGCTTTTTGAGTGGAAATGGGAGAAAATAATTATTTCTTGAACCTGGAAGCAAGGGATTTCATAGACAAAGCATTCATGCGCGTTGAAACTGTTAGTGGAAATATGATAACGAACCAAATCATTACCAAATCAATTACTTTTGAAAACATTGTACCACCTATGCGTTTCTTGTTTTGAATTGTATATACGTTTCTAAGTCTATGTTAGGTATTCAGAGTATACTTACCGTGAGTTGATTCCCTTGCCAATTCACGTGTTTCGTTTTTCCCTGTATTATTGGATAAGCAAGATAGGCGCATCGTTATAGAATTGATTGTTTTAATTCACCATTTGATCGAGATATAAATTGCAAACGGCAATCGTTATGCATTCATTAAATACCACTGTTACATTCGAAACAAAAACATAAAAATAAGCTGTTATGATATGTCATACATGAATTGGGAATATATTCATACAATTCGCAAGGAACAAAACCAGAAGAGCATCAACGATTTGCATTGTAGCAACTATGTGACCTATGTGTCAGACAGGTATTTCCAATATGCCCATGTCCCTACCAGAGATGTTAGTGCCTGAAAGATGATGTTTATTCAGAGTTCATTCGTCACTATGGAACAACTTCGAAGATTATCAGTAACGTTTGTACTTAGTTGCAACTGTTATCATTCATATAAGTATGTATCACTTTTCAAAGCTATTTGCCAATGGCAAGATCCTACCTCCTATGAAGGACCACGCACGTAATCTAGTCGATAGAGCGTCAGACCTTAGAGCGAAAGAAAGGTGGTCATACCAACAGATGTTAAAAGATGGTACTAGGGATTAAGCGTATAACACAAGGGCAGGTCAGATCAGAGTCAGTAAACCGAGGGTTGTCGCAAAACAAAATATTGCACCTCAAATGCGCAAACGTCGTTTTTTTACATCCTCATACTTTACCCGCATATACACCACGACCAAGAAGTTGATTTCCCTTTTGAATTACATGTGTTGAGAACGCATGACACAAACATGTGACACTGGTGCTTCATTGCATTGGTTTCAAGAGTGCTCAATCCGTGTGCAGCCAACTAATGTCACATGCGTGAGTGTAAAATGCGCGTAACCTGTAACGAGTTTCAGTTTAATAGATTCAAATAGTATCATGTGTCATGAAATAAAAATGTAAGATGTGAAGCTTGACATGTGTGACGTCATTTTATTGTTAAACTCCCTGGATGCCAGACGGACAGTCCCTCCTCTTTAACCCTCACTTTGAAGTCGAATAAAAGTCAACATACGTCACGCACACAAATACACTTCACAAATTCGAATACTTCAGGGAATTCCCTGTTCTGTGATATCATCCAATGTCATTTTAGGCAAAGCAAAAAATCGCCATTTTCAATATCCATAACGCATCAATACAAAGTTACGTTCCGTGTACCATGCTGGTTTTCTACGTATCAGTTACGCAGGTCTCGACCGTGTGTGTATTTTCATTTACATGCTCTCTGATGCTATCTTACCCCAGTCCACAGGTACGGTGTATCTACTATGTGTCCAGCACTGCATTTTAATATGGCCCATTCAAATGTATTGTGCATTTGCATAACAGTATACATATATACGTCGTAGGGAATAAATAGCATTATGCTTTGTCAAACTAACAGTATTATCTATCAAACAATACTACCCACAGTGCCTTGGCAAATTGACCCATAATGCACTTCTTTGTTTTTCGCCATATTGAAGAAGTTTTTAGGCATGAAATATTTTGTTTAACCATCCACATCCCTTTGAACAATCATCTGCATGTTATCATTTATTACTTTTCTCACCATAGTTTGCCTACATATTGTGCGTACCCTAGGACATATCCGGCGTGTTACAGCTTAGCCCCAGGGTCATGGGCAAGGAGTTCTCCTAATTGCCCAATCCTATATATATATATATAATCCATATATTACTTATTATGTCATTGTTATGTCATTGTTTGCATAAATGTCGCCATTGTTTACATATTACTTTTCTCACCATTCACGGCATTATTTACAGCATGTTTTGAAATTAAAATTTCGCATATTTATTCGGAGAAAGTAATTTCAAAAATAATATGTTAGTGATCACGGGTATCTGTCTTTTATGAAATCTCCTATGATCATTCAAAAACGTCACCGATAACCCTAATGACCCTATTTACACACTGTAGCATTTTCTCCTATTTTAAGCTATCCAGTCGTCTATTCGTTGAATACATTGGCTCAACATTTTCACACACACACAGACACACACACAGACACACATACACACAGACACACACACAGACACACATACACACACACACACACGCACGCACGCACGCACGCACGCACGCACGCACGCACGCACGCACGCACGCGCGCGCGCGAATATTTATATATATACAAGAACATTGCGCCAGCACTGGTTGTGCTAAGCTTTCGTGAAGTTCTCTGTATCTGTGGCACTGAGATAGATAAGAGACTTACCTCGTGTTGGTTGTCGTTCTGGTGGTCGTTCTGTTTCCGCTGTAACAGGAACATACGAACATTGCATATTACTTATGAAATCACGTTTATTTCTCATTAAGATATCAATGTAAACAAATTCAATTTTTAGCATTCATTTTATATCCAAGGAACAAACCCATGAGAAAGTTAACAACTTGACATTATAGCACCTATACACCTTGTAAAATATCGGTTATGTTTTTTCATTGTTTACACACTGCTGGGACAGTTTGCGCTTTCGAAAGTATATTGTCATTTGTTTTGCAAACTTTAGAAGGTGGACTTAAATTCAGCAACACTTAATTAAATTCCGGTGTTCTGGCTTACGTGTATACTATTAGCGTTAAAGTTCGTGGTTTCCAAATTGTCATTATAGTCGTTTGCAAGGTTAGAAATCTATGTTATGCTGCAGGTAATTTCGGATGTATGCTGTTGCAGACACTCGGCTATGAAATTTCCATTTCTTCTTTGTCGACTTCAAGCATGGTGGTTCGTGTGGTACCTTGTTGGTTGGATTTGTCCGAGTCCAACGTAGTTTTGTCTTTCGGGTAGAGAAAAGCTATTAGGTAAGCCGCTGAGGGGTCCGACTTCCCTCTATATGCGTTATTTGTTCTGGTGTGAGTCATTTAGTGTCAGATCGTGTTGGATTGTGGTGACTTACGGATGAAAAACATGGGAGCTATCTCTTACACGCGTGCTCTCATGTCAGCAGCCATCAAACCCCAACGGCCCTCTCTCCGGTAAGACGCTCTACCACTAGACCATGGAGCCAGTGAAGTACACAGACAAGCAGGACTGCCTTATGAATAACCATTCCAGTGACCTCTACTTTTAAAGAAGGTTGCATAAAACCTTACCGGTACCACTTCAATGCCTCACCCAAAGGATGATAATATAAAAATACTTAATTTCATCCTGCTACACTTCTTACGTTATCGTGAACATAATACGTTTTTGAGTGTAAAGCCCTGGGGGCGAAACTGACCTTCAAATATATCAGTTGTAAGTATTTCAAGATCATTCAAAGCACTCGTGAAAAGCAACCTCCTCGTGGTGAGTGCTGGGTAGCGCTAATAGCTCTTTCCCCGTGTGGAACCGGGGCAGAATGTTTCCCCAGCACCCCATTGCTGGTCGTAAAAGGCGACCGAATTGGGCAACCTGTTTGCCGTGGGTTGCGCCCCTGTGTCGGTGGAGGACGGGATTCTGGTGGTTGAGGGCACTGGAACCAGGAACAGTGTTCCTTTGCCCAACACACCACTTCGACCCTAACTTCACCTAGACGGGTGGTAGAATGGGCCCGTTTCTATCAATCGGCTGGTCACGCCATGCCCTTGTGCATGGAATACTTGAATTGAATAATTTTGAGATATATTAACCAAATTTGGATCAGGATATATCATAAACTTGATCCTGTTCATTTCAATTTTGCCTAGAGTCCTATGCCAGAAGGCGGTGGCTCATGGGCCAATCTGGCATTATAAACCTCTGAATTCTGTGTTTCTCCAGAAAAGTGTCATGGGCGAACCAGCCTGGCATTTCTTCAGTCAGAAACTTGAATAGCTATGGAATCTATTTGCTGGAGTATAACATCCCTGTAGCCCTGGTGGTACGGCGGGCTACCACTGCACCATCGTCCTTGTTGACACTACATGGCGGTGGGGAGCAGAGATGTCGAAACATTTACTTACACCATGGCTCTCCCCATACCATCTGGTTCATCAAAGAATAAACGGAGACATGTTGAGTCTGTATCGTCCGACGAAGACTCGTCTGAAATTGTTGACTCATGGCCAAGGTTTATTGTGATCTCATCTTCTGATGAGACACCTTTAAAACTGAACCCATTTGCTATCTCCTTGGGCATTAAAGGCGTCTGTGGAGAGGTGAAAAACGTAACACGCCTCCGAAGCGGTTCACTGTTAGTGGAATGTGCACGTAGAGAACAATCTGACAATCTCTTGAAATTAAAACAGTTTGTGAATATTCCAGTTGTTGTCTCAGTGCACCAGACACTGAACTCCTGCAGAGGCATAGTAAGAGACAGGGCTCGTTGTCTTTCTGACATGAGTGAGGAGGAAATTGAAGCTGAGCTGAAAAATCAAGGAATAATTGCTGTCAAGCGATTTACGAAGAGGAAAGATGATGGCACAATTACCAAACTAAATACTTATCTGTTTACATTTTCACTTTCTTCAATTCCAAAGAATATAAAAGCTGGATATTTCAACATCGGAGTGGAGGTATATGTACAAAATCCACTCCGATGCTTCAAATGTCAAAAGTTTGGTCATGGGGCCAAGTTTTGCCGTAATAGCTCAGTATGCTCCCGTTGTGGCGGAGCTCATGAGGGCTCTGAGTGCTCCAACAGCATCAAGTGTGCAAACTGCAATGGAGAACACTTGGCCTCATCCAAATCCTGTCCCTTGTATGATCGTGAAGCAAAAATTCAAAAAGTCAAACACACTAGCAATATTTCATACTTTGAAGCTAAAAAAGTTGGTGCCTCTTCCTACTAATTCAACTCTAACCTATTCAGCTGCAGTTTCCTCCCCTGCTCCTGTTGCCAAACCTACCATGAGAACAACATTGTCTCAAACAACGTTATCGTGGGTGGATGAACAGATCATTCTCGATGACCATACCGAGTCTGTTCTTTCTCTGTCAAATGTTTCAACATCAGCCTTGCAGACAGACATTGTAACACCTGCAGAAGATCCATCATCTGAACATGAAATTGTCCCTGAAACAGTTCAGAGCAAAGCCCACATGTCTTCAAAGAAAAAAAAGCAATTGAAAAAAAAGGCCAGGGCCCTTCAACATTTGGAGGTGCCTTCTACTCAGTCAACATCTATAAAAATTCACAATCAGTTTGAACCTCTGGAGATGGAGGTCAGTCCTTCACTCCCAGTTCATGGGAGTGGACCCCCATCCCGATCGCGATCTCCAGTTACAGTTATTGAAACAGAATTTTCAACCGTCAGCATTTTGCTTACAGGAAACCTACTTTAAAGATACAGATCAACTTGATATACGACAATATAATTCACATCATTTCTTTTCTCCTCCAGGGCCAAAAGCCACTGGAGGGTCTTCAATCTTGGTGAAGCAGGGAGTGATCCACAGCCCTGTTCCACTGATTACTCCACTACAAGCTATTGCTGTCCGTGTTACCTTGCACATTGTGTTTACTTTGTGCTCTGTTTATGTTCCTCCGACTTCATCTCTTCAGCATGTTGATCTCCAGGCCCTCCATGACCAGCTACCCAAGCCTTGCATCATTATTTGTGATTTGAATGGACACAACCCCCTAAGGGGAAGTGCACATTCTAACAATAAAGGTAAAGTCCTGGAAGATTTTATTTCCAACAACAATTTATGTCTTTTTAATGATAATTCCTACACTTATTTACATCCGGGTACAGGTACATACTCCTACCTGGATTTGTCAATTGTGGATTCTGATCTACTGAATGAGTTTGAATGGTCAGTCCATGACGACCTGTGTGGAAGTGACCATTTTCCAACCATTCTCAAAGCTGTTATTCCATCTGATGTTCCTCCATCATCACGATGGAACTTCACTAAAGCCAACTTGCCTTTACTTGAAATTCTTTCATCTGACAAGTTAAAACCTGATCTGGTTATCGATGTCCCTGATGCTGTACAACTGTTCTCTGATGAACTAAACAAAATAGCTGATACCTGTATCCCTAAGTCCTCTACGATTCCACACATACGTAAACCATGGTTTAATTTTACCTGCAAACAAGCTCGGAAGGCTCGGAAAAAGGCAGAGCATTATTTCCGTCGGCATCCTATGGTACATAATTTGAATCAATTGAAAATTTTGAATGCTAAAGCTCGGCGAACGTTAAAACATAATAAACGCCAGTCTTGGCGAAATGTACGCCAATGTCAAAAGTATGGAACATGATCCAACGAATCAAAGGTAAGGGTTCTAAATCTAACATTCGCCATCTTAAAAATGGGAATGAATTATTGACAAATACTACACATATTGCAAATAAACTTGGTGAAACGTTGGCTAAACATTCTTCCTCATCTAACTATGTACCTCAATTTCAAAAATATATAAAACAGCAAGAAAAGAAAACTATTAATTTTAAGTCAGATAATGGGGAAGATTATAATGAAATATTTTCTATTCATGAGCTTCATACTGCCCTTGGGCAGGCTCATGATACTGCCACAGGAGCTGATAACATACATTATCAACTCTAAAACACTTACCAGAAACATGCTTAGAAACCCTTCTATTAATATTTGACGAAATATGGACATCCGGCAACTTTCCGCCTTCATGGCATGATGCCATAGTTGTTCCCATACCAAAACCAGGAAGGGATCATACCGATCCCTCAAATTATAGACCTATTTTATTGACCAGCTGCGTTTGCAAAACCATGGAACGTATGGTCAACAATAGATAAAAAAAAGGTTCTTGGAATCCAATAATTTAATTACTAATATTCGGTGTGGATTTCGGAAAAATCGAAGTACTGTTGACCATTTGGTTCGATTAGAGTCATTCGTTAAGAATGCCATTATAAACAAGCAACATGCAGTGTCTATCTTTTTCGATTTAGAAAAGCATATGACACTACATGGAAACATGGTATTTTAAAAGATTTACATGATTTTGGATTACGAGGCCGTTTGCCTCAATTTATATCCAAATTTTTATCAGATAGACAATTTCAAGTTCGTGTTGTTTCTACCCTGTCTGATCATTATAGTCAGGATCAGGGTGTCCCACAAGGCAGTATTCAGTCTGTCTCTTTGTTTAGTATTAAAATAAATAGCCTTTCCAAGGTTTTAAATGATTCGATTGATGGATCACTTTTTGTGGATGATTTTAACATATCTTGTCGCGGTAAAAATATGCATACTATTGAAAGACAATTGCAATTATGTCTAAATAAAATAAATAAATGGTCCTTAGAAAACGGTTTTAAATTTTCTAAATCAAAAACAAATTGTATACATTTTTGTTGAAA